GGGGGGGGGGGGGGGGGGGGGGGGAGCGGCAGGCAGAGGGAGAAGTAGACTCTCCGCTGAGCGGGGAACCAGATGTGGGGCTCCATCCTAGGATCCTGGGGTCATGACCTGAGCCGAAGGCAGCCACTTTACCGACAATGTCTTCTTTTTGGAAGATTTATTTATTTTATTTTATTTTATTTATTTATTTTTTTAAAGATTTTATTTATTTATTTGAGAGAGCGAGAATGAGAGAGAGAGAGAGAGAGCATACGAGAGAGGGGAGGGTCAGAAGGAGAAGCAGACTCCCTGCTGAGCAGGGAGCCTGATGTGGGACTCGATCCCGGGACTCCAGGATCATGACCTGAGCCGAAGGCAGTCGCTTAACCAACTGAGCCACCCAGGCGCCCAAGATTTATTTATTTTAAAGAGAGAGAGAGAGAGAGAGAGAGAGAGAGAGAGAGAGAGAGAGAGAATGCGTGAACACGCATGCAAGGGGGGGGGAGGGGCCCAGGGGGAGGGAGAGGGGAAGTAGACTCCCCACTGAGCATGGTAGCTGTGACCACACGGGGCTCAACCTCACCACTATGAGATCATGACCTGAGCTGAAACCAAGAGCCGGATGCTTAACCAACTGAGCCACCCAGGCACCCCCATACAAATGTCTTTTAAAACATTCCCTAGGGGAACACGATTTGGGTTGCTACCCACACCTGTGCTCCCTGAATTAAATTCTGAGACCCCAAGTACATGTTTTGTCTTATTTCAGCTCTGCTTCGTGGTCAACTTACATATCTCAACAGAACAAGAAGGGATAAGAATAAAAAGGAAAGAAGTAATAGAAATTAGGAGTGACATTAAGTTAAAAGATAAGCAGAGAAAACAAAACTATTAGGTCAGAGTAAAATAGATCCAGATCTAGAACAGGAGTTGGCCGATGTTTTCTGTAAAGGGCTAGATTGTACAGGTTTTTGGCTTTGTGGGCCACGTGGTCGTCTCCGTCACAGTTACCTCTACCTTTGTTTTTTTGTTTTTTGGAAGATTTTATTTATTTATTCATGAGAGACAGAGAGAGAAGCAGGCTCCCCACAGAGCAGGGAGCCTGATGCGGGACTCGATCCCAGGACACTGGGATCATGACCTGAGCCGAAGGCAGCCGCTTAACGACTGAGCCACCCAGGCGCCCTACCTCTACCTTTGTAGTCTGTCAGTTTGCAAGCTCCTCTGGAACTTCCCAGGTGTAATTTGAGACTGTTCCTGTACTAGGAGGGCAGGCAAGGACAGAAGAGGCAGGTCATTCCAGTTTGGTAGGTGGCAGGCTTACCAAGCATGGGAACTTATCATGTGATAAGATCTCCACACCCACCTGCCAAATCTTTAAAAAGTTGATATAGAGGCCTTAACAGGGTTCAGTCATGTGTACCATCCAGATGGTCTCAACATCACATCACTGTCTGAAGGCTATGTTCTTGGGGCTGCTTCTGGGAGCAGGGAAGGCAATGGAATGCAACTTCCAGGGATAGGGAATGAGGGGTTTCTGATTGCTGGGGTCCAGCTCATGGGTCAACCAGCAGTCATATCCTCTGGATGATCGCCCCCAACCTAGGGTGAAGGCAGCCATGGATAACACAGAAATGAATGGGTGGTGCTGTAATCTAACAAAAATTCAAAAACAGGTGGCTGTACTTTCCGAACTTCTCTATAAAAACAGTTGGCTGTAGTTCCCCGACTCCTGATCCAGAAGCTCAAATTAAAAGGGCATAGCTATATGAAAACTTAAATGTTAAATTTTAAATAAAAAAGGTGATTATCCAGGTACCTGGCTGGTTCAGTCGGTAGGGAATGTGACTCTTGATCTCTGGGTCATGAGTCTGAGCCCCACGTTGCAGGTAGAGTTTACTTAAAAAGAAAGAAGAGAAAAAGAAAGGAAGGGAGGGAAGGAGGAAGGAAGAAAAGGGTGATAATCGAAGAAAAGAACAAAATAACTCAGTCCTTTAAAAAGAGGGAAGATGTGGTAACAAAGATAGTTGAAAATGAAGGCAATTCTCTAAACATGGTCAAAATCATAAAAGGTAAAATAGTACATTTTTAAAGCCTGGGGGTAGAAGTAGTAGAGTGTATATACTTCAAACTGAGGTCCCCCCAAAAGATTAATTTATTGTAGCTAGGATCTAGCAAAGGCCCCAAGACTTGGGATTCTTTGGCACCTGATGATGGTGCTCATCCTCCATTGAGTGTATACCTTCCCCTTCTAGAATGGGAAAACAAGACACACTCTGAGCACATGGCTGCCTGCATGGCTGTCTCAGCATGGATCTGTAATCACATGCTGTTAGTTGCAAGTTCCCTGCCTGGTATTTCTCCATTATCATTGTGTCATTGTGTTAGCAGAGAAAGACAACTTGGTCTCTCTTGGTAGAGACCCCAAGCAAGCAGCTTCCAGAATGTGGAAATTTATTCTCATTTCACATTTCATGGGGAATGGTCCAGGCTGTTCAGGCTCCATGAAATTATCCAGGGACTCAGGCATCTTCCATTGTGTGGCTCTGTCATCCCCGAGGGTATGTCGTCTCCTCCGCTGAAGCTATATCATGAACATGGAAGGAAAATAGAGAAAACCCAAAGAAGCAACTTCCCATTATGCAGGTGAGACAGAAATTGCATGCATTACAACCATGCACATTCCACTCACGAGGTTCAGTTGCGTGGCTATGCCTAGTCACGAGGGTAGACCCCAATTTTGACAAAAGAATGGATTTTGGTGGCCAACTATAGTCACTCCCACACCCAGAAAAGCGAGGCTAAAGATTAAATTCAAATCCAGGAGAAACCGTGGGTTTTAGCCAGTGGTTTAAAACAGGTAGGATAGAGTCTAAGGTATGAAACACAAGCTCTTTATTTTTGATAAACCTAAGGGGAGTGCCGTCTCACTTAGGGTTCGTTGTTGCTGAAACAGGAAAATAATTTATTAGAGGTATCAGGTTGCTCACTGAATCCCTGAGAGGGACCGTGAGCTGGCCTTGGAAGCTGGGTAGCCGGGAAATGTGCCTAACCACATGTGAGATTGTTCTAGAGAAAGCCTCACAGCCATTGCTGTGGTTCTTGGTGGAGCTCCTACCCCTGACATGTGGCACCAGGCACCAATGGCTGCCTCCAGAACCCTGACCCCTCCACTCCTATCCTTGCCAGAAAATAAATTCTCAGGGCCTGCTTCTTTAGAACTGAAATCCTGCACCACTGTGCACAATTAACAGAACCTGGGTCACAGGCCTGTGCCTCAGCTGCAAGAGGGGGCTGGAAAATCAACTGGATTAATTAGGATTAAGTTCTGCTGTATATTACTAAATAATAACAGTGGCTTAAATGGTTTATTTCTCATGTGAAAAAAGGTCTGGAGGTAGCCGGCTAAACCCTGGTAACGTTGGTTTCGTTGTAGACTTA